TTCGTATGTGCAGAAATTGATTGTACTTTGATTCCCCAAGAAACACCCTTGAAATAACACTTGCAGCGAGATAGCATGTTCTTTTCTCCGGGACATGTGAGCCTGCTGGCACAGAGACTCTGCACACCAGCCAGATTAAAGCCCTGGCATGGAAAGGTTGATAACTTTCCCAGTAAGAGAAATGGGCATTTTATTCCCTGTTCTTTAACAGGTGATACTAGCTCAAGCATTGCTCCTGTTTACAATAGTCTACCTCTTACAAGTCCCTTACATTGCCCTCTGGATTTACAGGCTACCCAAAAAAAAAAAATAGAATGAACGCACAGAAAAAAACCTCCTCAAAGTAAAAGACAATTCCCTCTGTTACAAGCAATACTGCTGTTCCAGATAACGTTGTGTCTTACAGAAAATGTAAGGCAAAGGCAAAGCCCCCTGAAGCAGTCTCACTAACAGAAAGAGTCACCTTGCTTTCTGCTCCCCGCTTTACACCTCCTTTTGAATTGCCCTGGAGATACTGCAAGAAAATATACCCAAGACATCTAAAGGGTCCAAATGTCTCAGATAAATCCACTTTTTTTCACAGGTGCAAACACAAAATGGAAGGGAGGGCCAAACTCTGTCATTCACCCCTCGGTGCACACGCAGGGCCTGCCTTCTGCTGCCTGTTTCTGGGCAGCGTTAAGAGAACAGGACACAAGCAGCGCCATTCCCAGGACACGGCCTGCTCCTGCCGTAAGTACTCAACACACTCGTGTTCTGCTTTACTCTGGGGTTTCTTACGACTTCCAGCACTGAAAAATCCATTACTGCTTCTTTGGGAAATATGCCAGCCTTTTGAGATAAACGTATCTTCGGAGAGATTTTATTTTTACACCGTTACTCATCTAACTCCAGGTCTCCTCAGGCTGGTTCAAGAGAACAGAGACCAGCGCCGACTCCACCAGGCGTGGAGGTGTGAGGGCAGCCTGGCTTGGCACGGCTGTCCCGCTGGCCGCTGCGGCCCCGGCCCTGGCTCCCTCCCGCACATCCCCTCGCTCCCCGCCTGTGCTTCCACCAGGCTGCCAGGGCCCAGCACCACACGGGCCACCTGCACGCTCCAGCTTGCAGACCAATGTGCTCTGCAGCAGTGGTCTTCAAAGGGCCAAACGGAGTCTCCAGAGGGCTGAGGAAAGCCTCCTACGCTCCCCGTGAGGTCTCCTCAGACCTGGAACCCCTGGCACAGATGGGCAGCTGGGCGAGGAGCCACCGATCTGAGTTTATGGTTGGACTCGATGATCTTAAGGGTCTTTTCCGACCTAAATGATTCTAGGATTAGGCCCCTAATACTTTTGTATTTTTAAATCCCCTGGAAATACCATAGGTCTTTGAGAATCCGCAGCATTAAGGTCTCACAGCAACTACCATAATAATGTGGAATAACATGTTAAAAAAATACACAGCCAGCAATTTTCAACAACTCACTTATTCTAGGTTGCTCAAAATACCCTAAATTAATTCCCTCTCTTAATTTGCATTTCAGTTGTGTGTTTTTTTGTTTTTAAAGTCAGTTTGGTCATTGTTAGTTTGAACAAAAACTTTACTCCCAGAGGAAAGTCTTTTCAACAATTTTCTGGGGACAAAGAGGAACAGAACATTAAAAATATGAATTTATAATGAAATCAGAAACAAAGGAACATTAGAATCGCATTACTGAATCAGATCAACCTTGTGCACTGTTCCGTCTCCAACAAAGCCTTAAATATAGCAAAGTGATAATACTGCTGTTCAGAAATAGTTTGTTTGAGGGTTGACATCCAAATCCGTAATTCCAGTCATCAAGAATTTCACAATCTTAATTTGAATGACGCTCTATCTTCTTTGTTTGCCAGTCTAGACAGTACAATGAATACAGTGATTTAAACACAATGAATTCTCTCTTAAAACAAAATATTTTGTAAAATTGCTTTTTAATCATTTCTTTTCTCTCTTTCCATAAAGGCTATGCTATAAATAAACCCTAAAAGTTCGCATTTGATCATCATTTCTAAAGGCTGGGCAAGAGGCAAGTGAAGGGTTTACACAGAAAAAAAGAGAGGCACTGTGGAACAGAAATAAAGGGATGCATTCATCATTTCTAACCTTTTGTTAGAGTGTCAAAGCTGAGACAGATACAAGCCAGTAAACACTCTGCTTACCATGGAGAGAGTTAGTCAAACGGGGTTACCCTGCCCGGGACAGGAGGCACGGGCCCAGGGAACCAAATTCTCCAGGGCACACCAAGATTTCAGAACAAGGTGCCCTTTTGCTGCTGGAAGGGCGACCCAGCTGGGAAGATCAGTAGTTGTTCAACTTCATTCAGTACTGGTGGCTGGATTCTGCTCATCAGCATGATCTGGGGAAGGGAGATGTTTAAGACACCGGGGCAGCCTCAACGAGCAGTAGATTTCCTGGGGAAACCCTCTTTGGAACCCAGGTTTCCCTGTCTCCGAGGGAAACCCTGTTTTGACACAGCATATGAAACTTGGAAATTTCAACTGCTGTCCCTTCAGTGCTGGAAAAGGGTTTCAACGCTGTGCAGCAGCCGCAGAGTAGCAAATTACTCTGCCACGCCAGGAGGCACCAGGGAAAGCACCCTGTCAGCCTGGCATCAGGAGCCCACCGGAGGTGCATACGAGGGCCAGCTTTAGACTGGGAGACCAGTCTTCTCCGATTCCCTACCCACTCGGCTCCTGCAAGGGCCGTCTCAGGGCACCCAGCATGATCCTGCTCATCCCACAAGAGGAGCCTGTCTCCTTTGGGACCACTGAGGCAGCCATGGAAGATTAGCTCACTTGTGAATAGTCCCTAAGTCTGATTTTCAGTAGTGACTCAAGGACTTATGTGGCTGAATATTACTGAAAATTAATGGGATATAGGCTCTTAAAAAGCACACATCAAATAAGAAGTCGGATTTAGGGACGTCAGCCCTAGGTAAGGAAGTCAAGTAACAAAATCCATTGAAATTCCTGAGCTGGGAACATCAGTCTCCTAAGGATTTGGGCTTTTGCTTTATTGGGTACTTTAAAAATTGTATCTGAAGTGAAATGGATGAGGCATTTGAGCAGAAATGTGATTTCCCAGCTGTGTTCTCCCCACTTACTCATTTTGATAATCTCAAGAAATGTTTGGACTTTTACCTAGCGTAGTTATTAACAGTGAAAACAACCACTTATCATCTAAAGTTTTACTTTACAACTTCAGTGGCTGAGAGCATTTGGCCGGCACATGCACAAGCACAGAGCAAAGCTCACCAAATGCTCTGCGTATACTGTGCCTCAGTTACAGCCACGGTGTGCCAGCTACGTGGAGGAAGGATCCTTGGACAATATGAAAACCAAGA